GTTCACGGAGTCGTACATTGCCGTTGTGTACATTCGCATCTACAGCGAAACAGTTTGTTCAGCAGCATTGGTACAATTGCTATACTTGCGGTATGGTTGAAGGAGAAGGCGTTTGCTCGGTGTGTGCGGTTAATTGTCATCGAGGCCATGATCTATCATACAGGTAACAATTAAAGTTTTTTTTCAAATTCTCAATCTGAAAACATCTGAAAATATTAAACAGTATAATCTGAAATTATTAAAATATATTTTGAAGAGGAAGTATATTGCTTATAATTTTCTTGCTTACTTTATTTCAGTAATAAATTATTTTTCATGAGGCATTCAGATTGTTTCTATTATTCTGATTTTATTGTAGCAAAAAAGAACAGAATTTTGGCTATGCCTTATAGTTAACATAATATTTAGCTTTGAATAAATCAGACATCTACATTTTGGTTTCGCAACATCTAAGAGAGAAATTTTCAACTTGAGAGATTTGGGATGAATAACATGCTTGATTTCTTAAATCTTCAGTAAATTTGGTTCATTCTTTTGTGATTGCGGAGAAAAAGGTTGTGTTGCGTTGAAATCCACATCATATCCTAAACCGCAGCGTGCCAGCAATCAAAAATATGCGACATTGCCCAGCACCCGATCAAAATCTTCAAAGCACAGATTGAGTGTCTTCAGTCATCTTTCAATTATGGATGAAGATAAGGCAGAAATTGAAAATCATTTGGTATGCTTCTTTTTTCCTCAATGTGTTGAGCTTTAAGAACTTTTGCACCTAACTTTGAAAACTTTAATCAAAATTTAATGATGAGAGTAAACTCTTACACTCTGGAGTTAGTATTCATCATGTTGTAACAATATTACAACGCAATGAATACTAATTCCAGAGTGGTAAGAGTTTACTTTTACTTTAATTGTTGAAATTCGTACATATCCCGTTTTAGTGTCAATTTATGGACGCACTGACAGTTAATCGGAAGAATATTATATCATTGATTACTGCGGTAAAGGAAGGAGTGCGTTTGCGATCAAGCAAGGCCCGTGAAACATCGTTAAGAGAAGCCGATGCAAAGCTGATGCAAGGCTTGATAATATCAACTGATCGTGTAATTATGGTATGTATTATTTGTTAGGACTTAAAAGTTTTATTTGGTTTTGAGAGAGCGACGAGGGATGGATAGATATGATATTAGAATCACTCAGAAGATACGGAAAATTGGGAGTCTTAGTGAAAGGAGAACAATGCATTTCTCGAAAAAGCGCTTATCTACTTTATCTCTCAATTCGCCCAACTTAATGATACCGGTTACATTGTAATTTTTGGCAATTAGTAAGTGTTCAAGTGCTGTTTGTAAAAATGCAAAAATTTTTAAAATTTATTCCTTTCAATTCTTTCAATTTATTGATTTTAGGAACCGTTAACTTCATATTCTAAAGCCCTTTTTGATAAACGAATTGAAGCGGGAAAAAATATAGATAATATGATAACATCTCTTGAAATTGGTGGCACGATTCTTCTAGTTGCTGTGCAAGAGAATTCAAAGATTGTTTTGCTTGGCGTCCGATCATTGCTGAGCGCATCTACGAAAGATTGTGATATACCAGTTAGTTTTATTGTAATTAAAGAGGTTTTTTGTAAACTATTTCTGATAATTCTGATCGTCATATGCGCGTGTTTACAAAATTGCCGCGATAAGAATGACAATAATTGGCAGCTATGAAAATGATATACTTTTTATCAAATGAAAATGACATACTTTTATCAAGCAAACTGTAATGCTACTTTGTAAACTGTAATGCAATTGTTTACAAAAATTATCTACGTTAGCTAGTGAGTGAATAAAATTATAGTTGGTACTACAAATACTACAAATTCTACAAAATTCCTTCACCGAATCCATGCATGAATAATTTTTAGTTTAGTCGTATCATTTCTAGTGATTTTTTATTGTTCTGCTTATAGCGAGTCGAATTGGATGAGGTTGGGTTCAAAATAGTTGCACTCGCAAGTATGAAAGATTTACTGGCTGTATGTGGTTTGAATCAGTATCTCATTCTACGCATTAATAAGGATGGTGATATATCTGAAAGGCAAAATGTTGAATTTGCTAATTCATTCCCATCTTATGCTGTTCCTAAAGTATGTTTTTTACAGTTTTTTTTTAAGTTTTACATTTTGTAATGTGACAAATTAATGATTAAAAATTGCTAACCTGCCATTTTTCCAAAATTTGTAACCAGACAGGATTCATGAATATTTCGTTAAATACTATTTTTTCATGTATAAAGTGAAAAGAAAACGAAGATATGTAATCTCTTTTCGGTTGTTTTGATGTACATAATACACTCCTTTTAAAAATTAGTCTAGTTATTAATTATTAGGTAGAATAATTTTCAAATTTAGTTGCTTTCATCTACAATATCAATGATCAGTTATCGTTGTTTCACATATCAGTATTTTTTTCAAGGTGAGATGGATAGATAATGACAGTAGCAATATGATAGCGGTTGCGGCATTACAATTCATACGAATTTATGATTTAAATCTCACGAATGTTCCATCAACTTTCG